GTAACTTTACTTTATAAAATTTATAAAGCAGAGTTACAGCAAACCCCTACCGCCCACCATGAAAGCTGGAACGCCCACTAGTGGGCGGTGGGGACGAGGTTGACTACCGCTGATCTAGACCATTAGACCAAACACTGCCTAGCCAAACATATAAATCTCGCCAATTTAGTGAAGGGGACATAAATTTGAGAAAATGAAATAAAAAGATCAAGAGTTTACAGAGTTTGTATGGAGTATTTTGCAGTGAAACTAACAAAGAGAGATTAAGTTACTTAGTGTGCACAAAGCTGTTTCTAATCCCATGCACAAGTGAATCATGCTTCACAAACATTCTGTACAGCAGGACCTCTGTTATCTAAACTTGCTGATTATATGAATTCCCATCCTGTATTTTCCTTTACTACTTTTTCAAGCATCATTAAAGCAGTGTTCATCTTATTCCAATCTTAGTGATTTTAATAAATGAAAAGTAAAACAGTGCTCACAACCTGCAGTTGTTAGTGTACTAATCTGAAATATACATTTGAACACACCTGCTGCCATATAAATCTGAATTTTTTAACCACCACTTAACTTTCAAATAACTTTGGCCTCAAAAGAACAATCTTTGGAGTTATTCATCTTGATTAGTTATGTCATTGTAATTTCCAATACACTAGCATAACACCCTCAGGTAATTACTCGTAGCACTGAATGTGATTACACAGAAGTTCCACTAGATACAAAATAGAACTTATATTGGATTACAGCTCAATAATTAGTCTTGGGCCAAGCCTGAATTTTAAACCAAACTTAAGATAACAATTAACTACACTGATCTTTATTCAAAGATCCTGTTTAGTACAGAGTTAAGCCATAGGTTTTGCCATAGGGAATTGTAAACACTGAGAATCCACTACTTCTAATCTTACTCTCAAAATATCTTAGATTTTAATTATCATGATTCTTTGGTTAGAAAATGCAACTCTACATGAAGTGGAACCATTTGACCATGGAAGGTGGACATGAATATTAGCTGTCTGGGGAAGTGTTTGCCACAAGTGCCCTATTATATATTAAAGAACTGCAGATTCATATCTGAATTACGTTTTAGAAATCATATATCAAGGATTCAGTTTATGAATTTTGTTTTTTGTTTAGGTACTTACCCAAATTTGTTCTCCTCTTTAATTTTTTTCCTGATAATCACAGATATGTACAGGATTAGTCCAATGATGACAACTCCACATATAAATCCAAGGACTATTGTAAGTGAATCTGTATTTCTAGATTCTAGTGTTGTAGAAGGTGCAACAGATATAAAACCTATAAGAATAAGACAAGTTACAAAGAAAAGGAGACTGACATCTTATTATAGTTGGGGGCGGGAGGCATTATTTGCAAATTCATGGAAGGAAGGGAGCTTATTATTATAAACAAAAAGTTAGAAATAAAAGGTATTAAAACAGTGAAAAGGAGGGGACTGAAGACAAGTGTGATAGTTTACATGAAAAGCATGTTATAACTGTGGGATTGATTTCTGATTTTCATAGCTGTTGCACAATATTTTTCTATGGTACGAATTATAAATGACTTGCAATCTGAAAAAAGGTTAAATAGATGAGTATTATCAGATTGCCCAGGATACTAATGTAAAAAAGAGTAAAATACAGATATTACAAAAATTCCTCTAGATCCAAAACTGTTATTCCTGTATCTTTTAACTGGACAAAACAGTGCATTTTAGTGCAATATGTTTTGAACCACATAATTCATTCAAAAACTGGGATCTAAGACTCCATGGAATTTAGTAAATTTTATAAAACATTTATAAAACATAAACATGTATCCAAACTTTATAAATGCATTGTTGAAGTCACTGAAGAATCCAATCAGGATGCATCTCTGAAACAACAACCCAAGAATCCACTGATTGTCTAATAGTAGAATAAAATAGCACGGATTGGACAGCTGTAGTTCCACATGGCAAAAAATATATGTCTCAAATGGAATTTTAGAACACCTTCTCTGTAGTAATGTTGAAGGCAAAATGTCAGTTGGTCTTCCTGAACTGCATGTCTCGAAGGATGGCGTGGGAGCAGTCACAGCTGGGTATTGTCACGGCCCATCTGCCCGGAGACTGAGGTAAATCTTGAGGTCACACCTCTACCCCTCCTCTGACTCTCCAGATTAACCGATGGTCCAGTCAAGGCAAATCTAGAAGGAACAGGGTAAGCCCCCCCACTCCCCTCTTGGTCCCTGACTGACCGGTAACTATTTTAACTCAGGCCCACCCTGCCTGAGTTAAATTACGGGCGGGAAGTGACTGATCCCACACCATCCTTCGAGACATGCAGTTCAGGAAGACCAACTGACAGTCTCCAAAGTGGGGCATGGGAGGAGTCACAGCTGGGACATACCAAAGCTAGGTGTCCCTGGGAGGGTCCATAGGGCCTGAGTCCCCCCGAGTATCTAGCACTCTCTGGAGAACTCTCCTCCCAAAGGACGCTTCCGTGGAGGTAAAAGCGTCCAGCCTATAGTGTCTGATGAACGGAGAGAGCAAAGCCCATGCTGCCACCCTGCACATATTTTCAATGGGAGCCTGGGTGGCCCAGGCTGCCAAAGTGGCTGTACTCCTTGTGGAGTGTGCAGTGATGCCTTCAGGCACCGGAAGCTCCTGTGCCCCGTAGGCCTTGGAGATGGCCAGCCTGATGTTGGCTGGGGAAACTTCACTCCCTGGTTGCCAGATGGAAGGAGATGAAGAGGACCTCTGACCACTTAATGGCCATCGAGGCGATGCCAGGACCTTTCCCTTCCGCTGGAGGGAGCTAGACAAAAATCCGGGAGGATAATCTTCTGAGCCCTGGGAAAGGGGGAATTAATCTTTGGCATCTTTGACAACCCTGTTGTTGTGGAAGATGCAGAGATCTGCCCTGGCCGACAGTGCATTGGCAGAGGTGATAGCTACAAGGAACACTACCTTGAGTGTAAGCAGCTGAAGACTCACCTCGCTCAGCAGCTCGAAGGCTGCTTCCAGAATTGCCTGGAGCACTGTGGGCAGGTTCCAAGAGGGAAAGCAGTGAATCACCGGGGGCTGGAGGTTGGTTGCTCCCCTGAGGAACCGTTTGATGATGGGAAGTTGGGACAACGACTGTGTGCCCACTCCCCCTAGGATGGTGGCTAGAGCTGAGACTTGCCTTCTGAAGGTGCTAGGGGCCGGGCCCTTCTTCAGTCCATCCTGGAGGAAATCCAGTACCTGCGGGACTGTGGCCGATGTCAGTTCTACCTGAGCAGAGTGGCACCAGGAGGCGACCAAGGTCGCATCGTAGATGCGAGTGGTGGATCTCCTCTTGGCAGCCTCGATGATCCCAATGACCTTGGTAGAAATCTGGATATCCCTTAATTGTGTCTGCTAATCTCCAGACGGTCAGTTGGAGCCAGTCTGGGTCTGGGTGGACCAGATTCCCCTGGATAAGGATTACCTACCCCCGAGGGATCTTCCAATGGGGGGGTGAAAGACATCTCAATCAGATCTGCGAACCAGGGATGTCGGGGCCAGTAGGGAACCACCAGGATGACCTCTGCCTTCTCTAATACTAGTTTCCTGAGCATCCCGGATAGGAGAGGGAGGGGAGGGAAGGCGTAGAGAAGACCTAATGGCCAACTGCAGTGCAGGGAGTCATTGTCCATCGTGCTATGTGCGTGGGGCCTGGGGCTCCCCCTCCCTGCCACTGGGCCGTGGCTCAGGAGCCTCTCAGCAGCGCTAACCGCTCCTCTGCATAGGCTGATCGCAGAACACACAAGAGAAGGTCAGTTGTATAACAATAAGATAAATTTGAAAAAGAAAAAAATCTCGTACCAAGAAGAGCCAGGTATTTAGCTCCTTCCGGGTCGAAGACTGAGGTTAATCTGGAGAGTCAGAGGAGGGGTAGAGGTGTGGCCTCAAGATTTACCTCAGTCTCCGGGCAGATGGGCCGTGACAATACCCAGCTGTGACTCCTCCCACACCCCACTTCGGAGACTTTTATGCCTTGCCCAGAAAAAAGCTTTCATTAGTTTGGAGAATATCAGTAAGGAGATTGGGAATTTGATTGTTTCCCAAAAACCTTTGTCCTCCCAATCTATGGGTGACAAAGTATTCACTGCTGCTTGAAATTCAACATTTTAAATTTTTGGGAGAAGTATTTATTTGGTATAGTTATAGCTCAAAATTCACGGAAAATCTGATAGTTACTCACAAGTTTTGTTCTCTGTCACTGTTCCAATTTAAGGGGCTATTATCAGTCATCATTACAGTAATCCCAATTGGAAGAACTGGACCTTCAGCCAGTTGTTTAACATCAGCTACAGGCCCTAACCTCAATATTTGGCATCTCTGTTCTAACCTGAGGATTCCAAAATTTCCTCACTAAAATATCCAGGAAGCCACAAAAGGAAACAGTGGCAGCAAACTAGAAAATAGGACACTGTGAGTTCTAGTGCAACCTTATCCATGAAGTCAATTGAGTAACCTTGGGCCAGTTGTTCCCTCTCTGACCTAGGAAAATGACAATTGCAAGCCACTTCTAAAATCTTGCCAGAAAAACCTACAAGGACTTGTCCAGATGTTGCCAGGAATCAAGACTGACTTGAAAATATCCATGGGTATGGTATGCATGAGTGCACGAACGCACACACACACACACACACACACACAGAGGCGCGCACACACATATTGGTATGCCGAGGACACTTTTTCCCCATAAAATTCAAGGCAATTTCAAAACATTTCTCATTTCCTGGACCAAATTTATATGGCTTTTCTAACATGCGTTTTCTTGGAATCTTCCTGTAAAACAGATCATTGACTATAACAGTATAGATGTTGTGAATTTCAATTCATACTCGGTTTGGAGCTGTTCATATAAAAAGCTAGTGTTCTATTGTTACACAGTGGCTACATGACTAGAATTTCAACAACTTGTTAATTCATATCACTGTATTAATCTGACTTACCATTGCTTGGAATGAATATTGCTACAGGGTCGCTGGAAGGCCCAACTCCACCATTAGTGACAGCAGCTACTTGCACTATGCAGGTGACATTTGTGGCCATAAATGGAATATGGATGAAATTTGTATCTTTACTGGTAGAAAAAGAGTGATTCTTCTGTGAAGAGAAAAATATTTTTTATTCTACCAGTATCTAGTGGACAAGTTTCATAGCTACCTGACAGATTTGCAAATAAACTTTTGTCTTTATTTGCTTAAAAAGAAGCTTAACAGACACTTGCTAATACCAGCACAATTAGTTAGTTAGTTAGTTTACTTTATTATCATTGCACATGGTACAACAAAATTAAATGCACATGGTACAATGAAATTAAATAAGTATTTATGTACAGTAGCTGTCTTGGTAACTATAGTACTTCAAGCACTAGAAAGCAACAATTAAAAAGTTGTCAATAAGTTATTTAAATACATTTCACTGCTGTTTAGAACCCATGCTAAGTTTTTTCCCATTGTAAACAATAAACAGCTGCGGACGATCAGATTAACTCATTACAAATCTGTCATCTGGCTGGCAGACAAAATAATAAGAAAGTGTAATTTAACACAAAAATACATTGTAGGAAGCAGTTTGTACAATTGATTTTTTTAAAAATATTTCCATGCTCATTCTTCTTCCCTGCCTATGACAAAAACAGAAAATCTCTTGTTTGCTTCCATCATGCTAATTGTGTAATCCCTGATGGTTTAGAACTGATGTGTCATTTAAACTGATCCTTGGTGCATTGTTTTAAAAAGAACAAAAACGAATAGACTTAATTTCTACAAAATAGAAAACAGAAGGAAAAAGAAAAGAAAGTGGGCAGGCAGATCTGTGGGGAGTCCTAAGACAACTTGGTAATATCATAACAATATTTGCCCACAATCGTTTAATTAACCTCCTGGAATAGTGTGCACTCTTTGTCTACTTACTTGAGAAAAAGCCCAAGTAAGCAAAATAGGATTTATCTACACATGGACAAGATAAGAATACTTACTAATTGTTCTCACCCAGCCTTTGCAAGCAATGAGAAACCACTTACTCATGAGTAAAACAACCCCCCTTTTAAAACAGGGTAGGAACAGTCTTTATTCATGTTGGATAGATCAAACCAAAAATAATTAGTCACAAATGAAAGTTTTTTCCCTTCTGAAACAGGACACGAATAGTCTCTGTTCACATGAGAACTCAAGATAAAAAGTCCTTCAATGATTAGGCCAAGCAGAAACAGTCCCTGTTCACACTGGCTGAGGCAAATGCATTACCTATTATTTCCCAGCAGAGAGACTCCGTTGGCACCTCAAATATAGAGCAATTAGATCCAACAAAACTGGTTCTGACAAAGGAATCTGACTTGATTGATCTACCTGGGGAAATGAATGGTTGTCTGTGACAACAGGCCACTCCCAAACCCCTACTATTTATTTCCTGCCAAATTTGTAGGCAGGTACTTCCTGCCAAATTTGTGATTTTAATGGAATCAAAGAAATATTTAAGTTATATTTTTTGTCTGATTTAAATATAACCCTGATGGAATGCCTTTTGTGATGAGATGAGTGCTTGGAGATTTCATAATAGCATCAAACAGAAAAAAAATGCAAATTTAGGCATTATCCTGCCAACTAGATGTCGGTTCCATCTAATAGCATTAGCACACCTAACTTGAAATAAATTTCTGTTCCTCTAAATTTCCTATACAGCCT